AGCTGGAAGTTGGCCTAACTAACGTAATTTATGCATATGCCATGTTATGCATATTGCATAAGCTTACATGGGTCGAAATATTTCACAGAGCGTTGTGACCGGCTGCAACTCAGTTTACTAACTCCTAGAAATAATCGTTTGAAATCCTGTGAGTACACAATAAACACGGCCTCCGAACAAAGCGTATTGAAAGAATAAGCTCAGTCCTTTATGACCTAAGAAACGCTCTATATCAAGCCTGCTTCATTTTCGGAGTCCTATTTTTTTGTGAAAACAAAATGGCGGCGTCCCCGCGCCATTTCGTTCCTGTTGGAGATAGAGCTTAGCGGTAAAGACCAAAAAGATTCTTTTGGAAGAGACGAATCCAATGATACCCAGTTTTACCTTCTCAGGTCAGTCATTGACCTTCCAGGTCAGGTCAAACTAAAAAATGTTTCTGTTTTAGGTCACCGTTGGATATCAAGCGCGCTGCTTGTCATATACCGATGACGATGCCGTTTTCTGGTGCCAAGCCAGGTAGAACCTCTTTGTCACACTACCCGACCAGGTTTTTGCTGCTGAGGTCATCTCAGGTCAAGTCAGGTCAAGGTCAATAATATGTTTTTGCATGTCTGTGTGTGTCTGTGTGTATACTGATGTGTGCACCGATTGTTTATGTGTCCATATTACATGAAATCATGATCTGAGAAGCTTTTACCAAAAATGAAGTCAAAAAATTTCAAAAAAAGTAAATTCAGCTTGCCTAAAACGCAATTATCTTAGATGACCTAGGTTGACCTTGACCCTGACCTTGACCTCTGTACATCGTCGAACAACATGTTTCATGATAGGTGGGAGGTAGGATTGGTATAAAAGGCCGAAATCAAGGTGTTAAAAGCTCACAAGGCCCATAGCCAACGCAAGATGTTGAGAATTGGCCATTTGGGTCATGACATGACCTGAAAAACAAGGTCATATCTCCGAAACCAAAAACCACAGAAACTTGAAATTTTCAGTGGACATCAAGAAAGAATAGAGGAGCAGCTATACGAAAAATCAGCCTTCTAGCTCTAAAAATGTTGAGTGCAGAGCAGAAAGACTACCTGGGGGGGGGGGGGGGGGTGGCAACCACCGTATACGAACAGGTGATTATATACGAACAAGTGATTGGCAGGTTTTTAATAATCGAGCTGTATGTTTAATTGGCATGCATTGTGAGCCTTGGTCAGGAAGCGATTGGCTGTGAAAGGTATTGTTTCAGAGTTAGGTTGCAGTGATTTGCGAGTTGTTTGGAGCAATTATTGTTTGTGTATGAATAAACACGCTCTTGTCCAAGAGGCATATTGTAACAGCACATAATTATTAGACTTTGAAATGTCGCCCCCCCCAAAAAAAAAAAACTAAAAGCTTTTTTTGCAAAACTGAGTTTCACGACGCAGTGCAGATGCTGATGATGAGCTTGCTGCAGCATGTACAAAAAGCTGTAGGTATATTACATGTCAGTTTTTCAACGTGACAGCTTACAAGTCTTATTTACATGTGATAGCTCATAAATTTTAATGCTGTGTTTCCATCAAAATATGGCGGCAATGTCATAAATAAGCGTCGCACGGCCACCAATTCCGCACATCAGCTAACGATTGGTGTCAGAAGTTTTGGACCTGTTGGAAATGTTACAGCTTGAAGCCAACAAGTGCCTGTTAATCAAACAACGAGACAGATTATATCCATCTGTTACAACAAGTATTTACAGTTTACACACATGAGGGCTCTTGCACCAGAAATAGGCACTTGGCTAGAAACAGGTTTTCCCCAAACTGAAATTTTACCCAGATGCCTATTTTCTTCAGATGGTAATCTCTTTTCAGTTGGCAGTTTGAAGAAGCGGTGTTGTCATTTAGCCGGCTCAAATACCGCGCATTCCTAATGCATATCTCGGGTTCTGGCCGCCGAGTCTGCACTGCTGATCTAAGCGTTATCTGAGCACTGCGTCCGGCCTGTGCAATCTACACCTGGTGGCCATACCAATCGATAGCACGGCCAGGAAATGTCCAGCACCCGCTGTAATATGAACACGGAGTTCAGAGTGCTGTGTCACAGCTGGCCTGGAACAATGATATATGGCGGATCTCAAGAGGAAAAGAGGAAAATACTTCTCCGATGGACAAAATGGGTTGGGTCTAACACGATGATACTCATACTCATACTCATATATTTCGGTTACATCCAAGAAATTGGGTTTTCAGTAAACCACGTCATACATTCAGTAGTTCAAAACTCATACCTGTACATACAGGACAGATTTTATAGAGGTTAAAACACACCACACATGATAAACTAACTGACCACATTGACCTAGCGCAGCCGGATTAAACATGCCGTTTCTTAACCTTTTTACGGAACGCCGCCAGACCGGTGCAGCTTTGAACAGGCGCAGGCAACTCATTCCATGAACGAGTTGCGCGACAGATGAATGAGCGCCGGGCAAGCTCAGTTCGCACGCGCGGGACATGAAGCTGACCGTCACTGGTTGCCCTAGTGCTGCGGCTCGACACCGCAGTACGGTGGACGATGCGGCTGCGGATCGAATCAGGGGCATGCGAGTCATGCATCAGTTTAAACATAACATGCAGATCATGCTCACGCAGTAGCTCCTGTACAGCAGGCCATCCCAGTTCCTTGCGGGACGCTGTCACACGGTCGCAACGCCTGAGGTTCGTTACGATTCTGACACAGAAGTTTATGCATTTCTGCAGTCTCCTGAGCTGTGTGACTGTGCAACCGCCCCATACAGACATGCAGTACGTTATTAGCGGGAAGACTAGCGCTTCAATCAGGAGCTTACGGGTCTCGCGCGGCACGCGGTGTCGAATCCTTGACAGACCGATCAGTACACTATAGCACCGGCGCAAAATGTATGATATGTGTTTGTCCCATGTCATGGCGTCGTCCACGGCGACGCCCAGCACCCTCACCGACTGTACCGGGAAAATTTGAGAGTTTCCAAAATGGATATGGAAGCCAGTTTCGGTTTTCAATCGTTGCGATTTTACCATGATCATCTCAGTTTTAGAGGGGTTGATTTTTAATCTGTTCTGCGTAAACCATTTTAGAGCAGCAGACATGTTGGTTTCCAAACGTATTTTCATGTCAGAGAGGTTGTTCGGTAAGTCAGAGTGGAGGAACTGGGCGTCGTCCGCATACATAACGATTTTCTCAGCAGGTACATGTTGTGGCAAGTCGTTGGTAAATACCAAAAATAGGACCGGGCTCAGGATCGAACCCTGGACCACTCCGTGTGACACGCTCTCAACACTGGGGCCACCCCGAACAGACTGGGTCCTGCCACTGAGCCACGCACGAAACCAGCGCTCCTCAATGCCGTACCAGCCCAGCTTCTCCAGGAGGCGGCCGTGCTCGACACTGTCGAAGGCTTTAGAAGTGTCGGCTGTGACTAGTGACGTCACACGCCCGGCGTCTACGTTGTCTGTGAGGTACGTGACAGTGTCGAGCAGGGCCGCCTCGGTGGATAGGCCGGGCCGGAAACCGTACTGCTGTGGACACAGCAAGTGATGACTTAATAGGTAGTCCATGAGTTGTGTGCAGACAACGCGTTCGCAAAGCTTGGAAACAACAGGTAGAATCGAGATAGGTCTGTAATTGCTAGGGTCACACGCATCACCGCCTTTATGTAATGGTACAACAGTAGCGGTTTGCCAGGCGGGCGGCAGTTCACAGCGAGAGATAGCGCTGTTAATCACATGCAGAATATGCGGCCCTACCAATGATCTCGAAATTCTGGCAGGATTGTTTGCTGTGTTTGCTATCTTCATTCTTCATGAGTGTTTGGCGATCGCATTCATTCAACTAGTTGCGTTTATGCGATTCAATAATCGATTAAATACTATGCATTGTTGGGGGAATCTAGATGACGAGTCCAGCTCCCGATCCATCCGGAGAATCCGGATGAATCGATCCGGAATATCCATTGGGGGAAGCTCTGTGCTTATGTAAAAATCACGGTTGATTTGACATTTGCGAATGCTTTTTTCGCCAATCACATGATTTAGATTGAAGCTATGCAGTCTAGTGCACGCTGTCCAGCTGTTGGCTCTCAGCCCGTTCATTAACTGTGGTTCGTGTTTCGCTTCCTTTCGATAGCCCACTACCCACTGCAGCTTCGCTAGAATATATTTTTATGCCATAATTGTGTGCCCCTTCCCAGCTACCCTCCCCTCCTAGCAGAGTCCAGTGCCCTCAAACGCTGGACTCGGCTTACGAAGGCCGCAGTCTGTGGCGCAACCGAAGTCTGCAAGGTCGACTCATGCGCTGTCAGGAAAGTTTGTGTAAAATAGTAGAGGTGTTTTGTGCAGCACCTCCGCAGCATTACTTTGTGGACGTAACTCGACACTGAGGAATGTTTGGTGGTGCGAAATAAGAAAAGCAGACAGACGATTGTTGATTGATATGCTTTGCTTTGTCAATGCAGACCCGTACCATATTTATGGCACGCCAGACAAAGGTTCTGGGCCAAAGCAAGCTAAAATAGAGCAGCAATTGTGCACGTTAGGTTTCGCTGCCATTGGCCGAATGACTAGCTTGAATATATGTCGACAAAAAACATTAGGTAGCGAAACATCTTTTGTTCGAATATGACGCCTGCTTACGTTGGTTCATGGTTGCGCAGTTTTTTCAGCTCCTTCATATTTTCAGAATCCGTACTTGTTGGCCATGTGAAAAACATCGATACCTATGAGCTCAATTCCATCCCTCATTGCAAACTAGTCATCCAAATGGCGTATTCTAGAAGCAGAGTCAACTGCGCCTTAAGAACTTCCGGGGCTAATTGCGTCATCCACCTGGAGGGGGAGGGGGGGGGGGGGTACGTCAGGACCGGGGTACCGTCGGTGCCGTGCGTCGCGCAGCACCGTTCCGTATTGCCACGTGCCTCACACCGGTCGTGTTGTGGCGACGGGGGCGGCTTATCGACCGCACCGATTGGGACCTCGGCTACCGACCACACTGCACTGCTGCGCCGTGATTTTGGCGGAGTGGTGAGCAGCTAGACCGGAGGGTCTTTTCTCGCCGCTGATCCGTAGACTGGGTGGGACTTTGACTGGTGGTTTTTAGCTGGTGAACGTGACTGTGACCTGGTGATCCGATGGCACCACACTCTGACGTGCGTCAGAGACGTCGGTCGGTAGGGGGGCCGCACTACCAGCCGTTGGACTGGGATCCGTCGCTTCCCTACGGAGGAAAGGTGTACCTCGCCAGACGCAAGAAACCCGATACGTGGCTCTGCATTCTTCTGGAGGTCAGTGACCGGCTGAATACTGGGTCAGGTTGACCGGGCTGTGGCATGGGGTATGGGAAGTTGAATATGTGTGAAACCGCGCTTTCAGTCTGTTCATTTGATGGTATCAGTGATGGTGCTTTTAACTAGGAGAGAATTGTATCGTGCAGACTAGATAATTAAAAAATCTGTCTGACCTATTTTCCTTGTTCTTGGATTCTGTGTCGAACAACGTCACCAATCAGTGCCGTTAAGATGGAATGACCGCGTCGCACATGCCTGGTCTCGGTCGTCATCTTTCCTCCCGATCAGGAAATATCCCGGCCCGTCTGCGCTTGGACCTGACCTAGCTCGACGGGCCTCCGAGATATGAACTACTGGAGTTGGTGCAGCGAGTGAGCAGTATATCCTGGAACGCCAGACAGTAGCCTGTGGGCTGTTCCCGAGCTATGTCTAAAATTCTGTTTTTTACTGTCTGGCCTCACACGTGTAATGTGCTTGTCACAAATGACTTGCAGGCAATGTCCTATATTAATCGTGTAACTGCTTTGTTAGCTTGTGGTTGCCAACGCTCGATTTTTGGAATTTCTGGAAATAAGTGGCATTGTCTCACTTTATCACACAAAGCCTTCAAACGTTGCATTTTTGTTTGCAAAAACTGGTGGCATATGCAGTGCTGTATGCGAACGATTCACTGGCTTTGCGATAGTTTCTCATCAAGACGTGTCAAATGAATGTGACCTTTAAGCCAACTGGAAAACTTGATAGGGATCATTAATTATCCGGAAAGGGCTATGCCTCATGTCAGGCAGTCTCTTTAGTTGAACGTAACATAGAGGACGCACCTCGTCGAACGTGCATACGTAAACGTACAACATACTCGTACGTACATTCTTTGAAATTTACAAAGCAAGTGATCTGCATGTGTGCCTAGGGTAAACATTTATTTTTTGATGGGATCTTTTACCTGCCTTTCATGTAACCAAGCCTTATGTGGACGACTGAAATTGCCAAATCTGCGAAAAATATGCATGTTAATGAAATCAAAAGAAGCGGTGTCTCTGCGTGGCTCGGACTGTTCAGTATTTGTGAAAGACTTTTGGGGGAGCTCTTACGTTCATCCCTCTCACTCGCCGAATGGAACGTGTTCTTGCTTAGAGCGGCTGGTTCAAGTCTGCAGCAGGCAGCATGGTATGGACTTTAGGTACTGGATAGCACAAAACTCAATACAAGGACAACATGCGACCACGAAAATAGCATGCCGGGAACGGGAAAACAAACACAGAGGAGTAGCAGGTGATATGGTTAATAGAATGGCTGTTGTGCTTGACTGAGGAAAAATCAAGATATATAACTACATATGTGGTGGCAGGTGATTTCGGGGTTTGACTCTTGATATATAGTTGTTGGATATGACATGCGATCTCATCAATATACCAAATAGTTGATCGCCGCTTATTTCATAAGATACCCAGCAAGTGGGTGCACTTTTTTGACGATTTTATAGCCACATACACAATTGAAAAGTACAAATGAGTGCACAAATTATCTGGATACACCTATGTAGGCATGCGGCAACTGGCCCGGACAATCACTAACATTCGCTCTCACTCTCCAGGTGGTGGCACTCGCCTTCGTCGTCTCACTGGGCTACTGGTGTTACTACCACTTCGATCATTTCCATTTTCATGTGACCCGGGCGTACGCCCACATAGGTCACACGGAGGCCCAGCATCTGATCGGTCAGCGCTACCTGCATGGTGAGGCCAACAGTCGAGGCGACCCGGTGGCAAGGGCAGGGGCTCCACAGGGGGTGGCAGCGAAGTGGTGTTTATAGTACCTTTGACTTTTAGGTGTTGGTCAGGGTAGCAGTTTGGATACTGAAACATAAACGTGAGCTGAGGGAGAGCAAGTACGCACTCTCCGTATTTTTACATAGGTTTTATCATAATATTTATCAAGTCATCGGTAGGAAACTTTTATTTTTTAATGTTGTTTCACACTACATAGTACACCAGTCTGTAAGGTAAAGTACGATACCTGTATGCTGCGAAACATAACTCAATTATAACAATCTAGTTACCGTGCGACAGTGAGAGACCCTTATCTTCCGATGGCAGGACGAGGCGTTGAGAAGGACCACTCTGAGGCGATGAAGTGGTTCAGGAAGGCGGCCGACCAGGGCCACCCGCACTCCTCGTATAACCTGGCCGTTGGTCACCTGCAGGGGCTGACAGAGGACCTCCAGCCCGGGTAACTAAAACGGCACCGAATGCGCATGTGTTCAGTGGTGATGGTCGTATGATAAACATTGAACGGTGCTACTTCGAGTTGTATTTATATTCCAAAGTTGACCCAGTTTTATCGGGTATGATCCATGACTCAGATGTTGTGCCACAGATCTCCATATCGCTTGCAACACACAAGTAAACCTACATGACTGTCAATGCCAAGTTTGTTTATCAGATGCCTATTGCCTGACAGCCCCTGAGCGTTGTTATTCCTTTTTACAGAGAGGCCCAGAAGCTGATCGAGCACGCCGCTCGACAGGGGGTACCGGAAGCCTCTGATATGATGGACTCGTCCTGCGTCTGGGGCGATTGTGAGCAGTGACCTCGGCAGGTCAACATCAGGTCACACACATGTAAGATGGTCGGAGGTGAAATACTCTGAGTCAGCATCGTGATGGTGGTTTAATAAAACGTCCTCAGTCCCATAGCTCATCATCTATCAAATGAAGCATATTGCAAGGAATGGCAGCACATGGTTGTTGGCGATTTAGAGCGTTATTTCTGTCGTGATATTAGTTACGTTACTGTAAGCGCCTCGTTACCTAGCCTGCTCTCAAGATGTGTGTCATTTCTCGAGATCTAGGCGTGACTTCAAGCCGCGTGTCATTTCTTGAGATCTATATCTGAGAAGATACTCGGAGCCAGGTTGTGTCTATCTATACCAACAGTCAGAAGAGGACATCCTTTACTGTCAGTCTCGAATGTTCGGTGTGCCGAATTCGGGCGATGTTGTTTGACTCGATTTTTGCTTAGATGCAGCTGTATCATACGCACAACCTTCCGCGCTTGCTGTTATGTTTTGAAGATTTATGCATTCTCATGCACTTTTGTCTTGCCTCATTGTTGTATTCTGTTTATTTCTAGCGTCTCGAGTGATAATTAGATATTTCCTTTTATTTTGCTAAGATCATGCCTTACGACTTAGACTTAGACAGCGGCCATGAGTCTGTATGAGTGCATGTGTATGTTTGTTTGTGTGTACGGGCTTTGAGCGTATTTATCACGTTATTTTATGTTATGTCTCCCATGCAGAGTTTTAGCCCTGTACGAGCGGCCGTAATAGCCACGAGTGTATCGTGGATGGCTTCAATACACGTCTATGTCTATGTCTATGTCTACGTTTTGAGTGTATTTATGTAAAAAGCATCTGATTTGGGTTGAGTTTTTTCAACTTCTGACATCAATGGAATATGAAGATAACTATAGACTAACTAAAGTTATAGGTTTATCCTTAAATCACGTTTGGCCTTCCGTGGCTGAGCCGCGAACAGTGCTACCGCAGTGCCTTATTAGACGATATAGTCGTGTTGGACGTGCGCGTCCCGATCGACAGTGCGGTGTTTGGGATGATTTTGTGTTCGAGATATCGGCAGGCAGCGATATCTACGACGGACCTCGGATTGATGACGTTCTCAGCATACTTTGTAGAATTTAAGGTGGTAGACGATACGAACACAGTTTGTTTGAAAATAAACAAGTGTTGAAAGTCACTGTTTCCGCCTTCCGAGGAAAGCACAAACAGAATGATTTGATACTCTTTGTTAGCATCATTTTGGTCGTGGCCCGGGATGTTCGCGGCTTATGGCGCATGCTATTTTTTTAACCAACCGAGTTTCCAACCAACCATCTACACATTGAGATTGGCTGCACTTGTGGGTTGAAGCAGAACACCACTGCACTACCCAGATTCAGGCAAGGGTCACTTCTAAATTTTTGGATGTAAAGGCATGTTTCCAAGTTTCCTATTGGTGTACCTTTGTCATGTGGGTAGGGCTAGATCACAGAAAGCTCTTACCAAGACAAGAACAGCACAGCACAAGTTCTCTGAACAACTGTATTGTATAGCGTACTTTAATCTAACAAGCTCGCTTGCTGAAATAGAAGCAGCTGGCACAATGCTAAAACAGTGGCCAATAAATTACATTTACAGCACTTTGAACGTCCTCCCATGTAAATGAACCGCACCGGCCGCCCTTTCTCACATGGCAACGCACAGTCCAACCGTCAATTTCATCAGAAAGGCACAAGTACATTAAAAACGAGCCGTCACTGACAAAATTTACAAAATAGTTACAAACACCACCAGTAGGTGGCACTGCAGGCGGCCTGTCGAAAACGACTTGGTTCTCGTATGACACACGTTCATCTCTTCATGACACATGCATGAGCAAAGATGGGGGAACGACGTCACAAGAATGAACTACTCTACATGATGAGCTTAGTTCTACACGACGCGAAGTCTAACAGACCAGCTGCTGCACGAGCTTGTGTTCCTCGCCGCAGCCCGTCTGGTCCCGTCACACTTCACAGTACTGCTAGCCCACGGGTTTGGCACTGTGAATTCATGCGGGTGGTGTGTGTATATGTACATTTTACAACCATCACTGTCACACCTTATAGTCTACGTTCATGTGGCTGCACGGGCCCAGCCGGGGCCGGCACAGCTCGGTCAGATTTTGATATCGGTCTCCGCCGCCGTCCTCTGGTCCTCGGTTCAGGTACGAGGCCCTGGGCCTATCACGGGCCCGGGGAACGCGGCACGCGCCGGACTGACAAACCTCCTCACACCAGAGCGAGCCGCCAGACGCGTCAGTGATAAAACATCGCGTGCGCTCTGTCCAGCTCTGGCACGAATTCGAGATCCTAGCGTCGTGCGACGCAGCATCTTATCCATATCAGCTGTGTACAATATCAAAAAAGGTCAGGAATACACATTCGCCCTGACCTCACGCAGTCAGCAAATCAAACTCGCCGTCCCACGCGCATAACACAATGAAATATCACAATGTTCACGTCAACATACAAAATCAACATCTCCACCGCTACAAGCAACAACAAACTAACACGCATGCAAGTGGCAGCGCCGCCGAAAACGGGCGCGACCGCCGCACCACCTATCGGCCGGCATGAGAAGTAGAGATACGCTCAGTCTCCGACTTCGATGAGTGTGATGTCGAACGCGCCCTCCTGCTCCGCCTGTCTGATCTCCAAAAGGAAGGTGTCCTCGTTGCAGTAGTGCGCGATCATGTCATCATCCATCGTCGCTACCACTCTGCAACATACGAGTACGGTGATGAGTTGACTTCAGATCGAAGCAGGACGAAGAACAGGCAAGGTTGTGGTACATGGGGTCATCCATTGTCAACGATATGCAATAACCAATACCATGCCTATTGCCTATTCAACAAGGCGTATGATGAGGGATGGTAAGCCACTTACCCCTTCTTGTTCTTCCGACAGAGTGTTTGAGCGCAGGAGGCACTGATTTTGTACTTGCTCTCAATCTGGAAGATACAGAAGCACACGTCAGTCGAGGTGCGTAAACGCTCTAACTTCAGGAGCCAATGCATAGTGGCTGGCTGTCAGTCGTTTCGTAGCTCATAATCACGCAATCACCTAAAACACCGCGACACCTATAGCCGTACTCACCGCGTGCAGGAGTCCGATAGTTGTAGGTGGCACCACGTGCAGCGGTGTGTAGAGCTCCTCCCGCTCCTGACGCACATACAGCATCACCCGCTGGCTGAGCGGCGGCGAGAGACGTGCCCTCTTCGCCCCCGGAGAAAATAGGCCATCCTCGCTCTTCCTATCCCTGCAAACCACCGACAGAATTAAGTGACATGTGAAGGGGGACTGCAAAACATACGCATTACATAGTAGGGGAAAGTACAGGCGGGGTCAAGTAAAGGAACCTCTCCCTGCCAGGCGGTGCGACTGCAGCTATGCAAAACACACCACATATCTGTCCTCATCGAGCATTCACTGTGGACCCTTCCCGATGCAGCCGCGCCGATGCAGCGCAATGCTTTCAGCGCGACTGTTGCAAGCGGTTGACAATTTATCTTCCGTGCGAGCATTTGAGGACCGTATTCATTGCAAGCGTCTCCAAATCGTGCACTATTAGCATCCAGATAGCGCATGGCTTTGCCGCGAGCGTCAAGCGGGTCGCGCTCGGCGCTTAGCAGCGGCACGTGCAAATGCAGAGGCGCAGGCGGCAGCGGGGCAGTCACAGGGGCGGCGGCCGGGGCAGTGTCAGGCAGCGGCGGGGCAGTGTCAGGCGGCGCGGCGCGGGTCAACTCACCCGTCTGCTGCTTCAGCGGGGAGCGTCGGGAAGCTGTAGTGAAACTTGAGGGTAGCGGGGGCAGCGGGGGGCGGCGGAGGCGGCGGCGGTGGCGGCGGCGGCGGCGCGGGCGAGCCCACCGCGTCAGCACACCTGGTGAGGCGGCACAGCCAGACGGACGTTAGTCACGTGACACAGCCAGTTAGTCACGTGACATGCCAAGCGGCGCGACGTGCGCTGGCAGCCGCTCATGCAAAGCTCGGCGCTCGGGGGTAAGGGATGGGTAGAACATCATCGGATATGGTGACGCTATGGGGACGGGAGCGGGGGTGGTAGCATTGCAAGCTCGGGGCTCGCGTATTTGCAATGGCCTCCCTGGGTGGCCTGCTCAGCATGGCACAGCGCGGTGCAAGCTCGCTCGTGACACAGAAAAGCTCTTCAGTATGAAATGTTTGGAAAGGCTACTTAACTTTTCTTATTAGAAGGCTGCAGTTTTGAGCTGCATGAAAACGGAATGACATAGGATGTTTAGGTTAGGAGAAAAAAATGAAACCTGCTTTAAATTCATTAAACGATATCAGAATCCCTGTACATCATTAATATTCTGCTCGTCATTAGACAGTGCTAGATGACAGTTTATCAAAGCAAACATGCCTGAGCTTACAAGTATTGACAGTAAAAACTATTTTTTTTTTTTAGCAAGCAGGCAAGGCTTACAATGCTGAAAGCTTGATGAGCAACGAGCACAGACAGCATAACAGTGCAGCGCGGAAAGAGACAGAGCGCAGAAGAGAGATTAGTTTACAGGTCTGCCGACAGGCAGCGGTGCAGGCGACAACTTACAGGCTTCCTTCGCCCTCCTGCTGAGCGTAGTAGTTCTGCAGCTCCATGTTGCCAATCTGAGAACATACGGAACATTATAAATTGTATGATTAATGTTTTTTTCTTGAACCGTTTCATTTGTAGGTATACATTTGCAATGGAAGGAAAACCCGTTGCAGAACCCCGACGCATTGTTTTGCAGGATTTCTCATGAACACGCCACAAAGTTCCAATATGTATTAATTGTATTAGGTAAATGAGATTGCTAGCAGGATCCAGCATTTGGGCTAGATCCAGGTGTCCCGAGACTGCAAAAATGCATAGGAACAAACACCAAACGTTTCGTTCCCCATGAGACTGCATCGCTGCACCCCAGACTAACACCAGTTTTGGAAGCGTGTCATGCGGCACAGTATACCGCTCCAGGCATTTACGGTTCGCCGCCGCCCGCCGACATCGGGGACTAAAACGGGGGCTATAAACCTAGCACCAGGCGTGGAGTTGAGACTGCGATTGTGGTTATAAAGGCAGCACCAGGTTCCTCTCGACTTGGCGGTAGATTTTGCTAGTTTGGAGATAGGAGAATGCAGCAACAACGGTTCTTACGTCTGTCTTATCCATGGTAAACTAGCCCTAGCACCAGTATGAAACTTACCATCGATATTCCTTTCCTTTCATCCCTCGTGTTTCGTCAACTTCTCTATTCTATTGTCCATTTCCATCTCTCCCTCCCTCACTCCCTCCCTCCCTCCCTCTCTCCCTTCCTCTCTCTCTCTCTCTCTCTCTCTCTCTCTCTCTCTCTCTCTCTCTCTCTCTCTCTCTCTCTCTCTCTCTCTTTCTTTCTCTCTCTCTCTCTCTCTCTCTCTCTCTCTCTCTCTCTCTCTCTCTCTCTCTCTCTCTCTCTCTGTCTCTCTCTCTCTCTGTCTCTCTCTCTCTCTCTCTCTCTCTCTCTCTCTCTCTCTCTCTCTCTCTCTTCTCACCTTCTCCGGGTCATCGCTTGGCTGGAAGAGTGTCGGCGGCTTGGTGGTATCGGCCATCGAGTAAAACTCGGAGCGCTCGCACGAGCCGTGGTACATTTCTTCCATCTTTTTCCGACCGGTGGCCGTCATCTTCCGTTTAGAGGCGCGTCGCTCCTCGTCTCGTGTTTTCCTCTCGGCTCCCTGTTGAGAGGAACGGAGTGGTCAAAACGTGGGCCAAGCTGGTCTGTGTGAAATTGAAGGTCAAATTGGGGAGTGTTGTGTTGGCTACTACATTGAACAATGTCACGTTTGGAATGAGTTTTATCTTGAACTCTTTGCTTTTCAGATGCTTGAAAAGTGTGTTTTTAATGAAAGACAAGAAGAACATCTGTGCCCGCATATAGTGACTGAGTGTGCTGGAAGTTAATTAGTTGCTAGGCCGCAATTAGTTGTCTAGTTTCAGCAACTTTATTTTTGAACCCGCGCTGCAAACATCACCACATTTGACACATTTACACATGAAATTCGAACAGAATGCTTCTTAACCGTCTCGGAGCAGCATTTCTAAACTACTGTCTATCCCAATGCTGGTACATTAACATGTTCTGAATTACTAGTCGACGATGGATTTTTCATGTTTCTTAGCTCTTCGACACCAACAGCATAAATTATTCCGGCTGGAAACGGTTTCCACTGCCGCCGGGGATGCGGCCCATCGTTCAGTGCAGCCCAGCCCAGTGAAAGGTCTGAGTCCCGGCCAAAGGAGCGCACCCAGCTGCGCCGGTGGCCCCGCCGAGACTGCCTTTTTAGAACAAGGCCGAGATGTATTCTCCGGCGCAGCATCAGCATAAACCCCGACATAACGCGGCATTAATTTGGGACTGACGGCCGCATTAGCGCCGCAGCGGAGTGTCGTTAGGAACTTTGTCAGGTGCCTAAACCGGGACATGCCCAAACCGGGCATGCCTAAATCAGAACATACTAAACACGGTCATGCTTAAACAAGAACATGCCTAAACCGGCTCATTCCTAAGCCGAAGCAAGCCTAAACTGAGACTTGCCTAAACAAGAAAATCCTGAATCGGAACACGAATAAAGCGGGATGTAATGAAGCAGCTTTGAATCGGGTGGGAGCGGCACTAAACGGGAAACGAAGTCTCTGCAGAGCGGGGAAAGGACGAGGCAGACACCTCCCCCAGGGCGGTCGTATCCCGTGGGTCGTGTCCTTTCGATCATGTTCCATCGGTCGGTCGTGCCCCACCGCTCGTGTCCCACCGCTCGTGTTCCATCGCTCGTGTCCCGTCTCCCGCGCGCGGCCCCTCCCCGGTCGGCAGCTCTGTGCCCGCTGCAGCCATTGGTCGCCTGTCATTACGGCCATGACAGATGGCCCGGCCGGTCGGGAGGCGGCTGATTTATTGCCAGATTGTGCAGGGCGGCTACTGCCAGATCGGCTACTGTGTGGTCGGGTAGTGAGGGGAGGTGCTGGGGACGAGTTGAATCAGAGGAGTGATTGCAATTGAAGAGTTTTTTTTTCTAAGTTGCCTTGAGTCATCGTTTATGATATCATGTGCATTGTGCAATGTGGTATTTCATTTCGAAGGCTTCAACGTTACTGAAGAGAATGCTCTTCTTCAGCATAAGTTGAAATCTTAAACAACTTACGTTATCGGATGATTTCAAAACATCATCTGCATTGAACTTTACTCGGTGGCAACCTCCACGCATACTTTGTGCAATTGCATACTTCTAACATCCTTTCCCTTATAGCTCTGTAACGTAATTCGATCAAGCATTTCATCACAGCCATTCATCTCTTGTTGACTGATCTCTTCTGCTGCTGACGTGCTTACCTTATCGCAGAAGGACTTGACTTGGCAGTACGCGCGGTGAGAGACAGGCGCGTTCGGGTCCCGATAATCCTCGTAGGTGTCGATTTGAATGTGCAGCGGAAGTCCCTGTGGCGGCACACCAATACCGTCATATGACGTCACAAGGGGTAGTCGGGTACGGAACACTGCACGGCATCGAGGCAGTTCAAACATTTCACGGCGCCTTTACGAGTGAAAGCATGCAAAGCTAAGCCGCCGAATGACGCTTTGGACCAAGAGGAGCAAGTGATGCAACTCCTTTGTCGTGATCGGTACGAACCGCAAGCGATATTGAAGTGCAACAACGCATCTTACATATGAATGTGGGTGAACTGGGTCGACAGTTCTTTAGCTAAGGACGATCCTTTCCTCATCTCACCTTGACGCCTTTTTGGCTACTGAAGTCAGTACTAAAGCACTGCAACGCGATGCTTATCTGCAATCAAGGCGTGGTATCAACAATTTCCCCGTATGCTCACCTTAACTCCCTTTTGGCTACTGAAGTCGGTACTCAAGCACTGAACAGCGATGTTGATCTGCAAAGCCATTCGATACGCCGTCAGAGAACAGTCATGGCCGCTGGAAGAGCGCTCAGATGAACGGCTAGAGCTATGCCAATTCAAAAGCTGTCTCGTTTATAAAATGAGTCGGCACTTATGGCATGATATACCGCAAAGCATGAACACTCAGTAGCGAAACGAGCACGCTCGTGGCACGGACTGTAAAGGGGGAGATTTTGTGGTGATTGCTGATCTAGCGCGCCGCATTTGGGATGAAGGCTAGGTTTCAGAACCAGAGAAGTGCATTACTCAATCCATCCATGGTCTAGGGACTACGAGTGGCCACCAAGTTGGCCCTGTCACAGAATCAGGCCATGCATGGGATGAATTTTAACCCGGTCTCTTATCTAAAGTGTCCGCTAACTGCAGTGAATTGAGCTTTAAGCGGCCATCGTCAGTGCAAATCCTAATAGGGACAATGCGGCGCCCGCTACGTGTGAGCTACGGCGCCGGGCGATAATGTTGCAATAGATTACATTACTCCAAGGACTACCATTAACGATGCCTCCAACTCCCGAGAGCGAAACCATTACGGGACGATCTATTTACATCACGAACATGGCCGTTCCGCTTCGGCGCTCTCCTGGCCGACTCAGGCTGCTCAGGAGACGTGAGCGCAGCCCCTTTTGTCATTAACTACGCCACTGCAGTGGGTTCTCAGGGGCGTATATCCACTGGCCATGCAGCATGTGTCTCCGTTGAAACGCCATGTAGAGATGAACGAGTTACGGGACATTGCTGAGCAGCTTAGAGTGGCACAGCCCACCGGACTTATGACCCGGCCGACCATCTGTCTTGGATTAGGTGCACAATGCGCACTGCATATGCATGCTCAGAGATTTAGCACACTTAGTTGATCATACTTCAGCGTTTTACTTTCAAAGTGGTGGTCTCCATCTCAATCCAATGCAAGACTCTGCTGGAAGTATGAGATATTGCTTCTACATTTAGCAAAACTTAATTCTAAAATTAATTTTGGATGTATTTATATAGCGCCAGCTGCAGTAAACACACAACTCTGACAGCGCGCCCTGAATTTTATATCAGTCCCGGCTGTGCTGTGGGTCCGACCCCGGCCATCCTTTAGCCCGCCACCCGGAGGCGATCGGACTCCTCTTTACGGCACGTCCAGGAGTCATCTCCCAGGTACCAGCGGCGCCCGGGGGTAGCGTCCATCTCTTCCGCGCCAGGGGAGGGCCCGTGTCGCAACCGGGTCCAGCGCCGAGCCAAGGCCGACAGCCGCGCCTGAGGCGCTCCGGGCGCCGCGGACACGCTCACAAAACGTAACGGTCCCGTGGGAGAGCGGGACGTACCCAGGGAGGGTGCTGATTACTGCCGCGAGGGCTGCCCGATAGGGTTATAAGGGGTTAGCAATGGCCAGTAAAACGTGATTAGCTTTGCATCTGCTCTGAAAATGGCAATTTTGGGGAGGTGGGATTTTTCAGGAATGGAGGCTTAAAAAAATGATAAAATATTGTATGACCGGAACGGAACACAAGAGGATCCGGCTGCTTAACTGCCATTCAGTATCTAGACCCTCTGCTAAAAAATAATCGGATTCAACTGAATTGGGTGTGCGTATAAAGTACAACAGAGAAGAGCGTTGAAGCTTACCTTTCCCGAGCTCTCCAGTGGGTTCCAGTAGACAGCGATGGCGTTGTGAGCCAGCTCGTCGATACCTCCGTACAGACCAATGCTGTTCTTGGTATCTGCGAAAGACGGGCAGTGTCAGAGCTGGGAGGGTGTTTTAGAGCTGTAAGGTAGTCAGGCCTGGATGAACTGCGATACTAAACCCAGGCCGAGTAGAAGTAGTAAACCTAGAATGGTTTGTCTATAATTTACGCTCGGTTTCCAGTGAATCAAGCACTGTTAAACCAAAGCTAGATCAGCATAAAACAGCAGTAAACACTTCGATCATAGTTTGTTCAACATCATACGATTGCAATTATCTAGTGGCTTATGGTAAGGTCTCACAACTAACCATGAAACCTGATTACTCCTTATCAAATATTCCCTTGGGCAGCCAGTGCTCGGCAATCGCACCTCATGGGAAGAGGAGCCTGAACCCTAGTCGGGACCTTGAAAACCTTACAAGAAGTGAGATCCCTCTGAGAATCCTACCAGAAGTAAAAATCCTTAGAGAAAAGAAATTCCTCATATAAGTGAGAACCTTCTGAGAAGTGATTACCCTCAGAGAAGTCAGAACTCTCTGAGAAGTGAGAACCCTCTAAGAACCCTCTGAGAACCCTCTGTGCACGTACCGACATCGAGGATGCGCTGTTTGACGCTGTGCTGCCGGCTGTGCCAGAACTGCCAGGCCTTCAGCTCGTCCTCCGGCGTCTTCTCCTCCCGGAACACCAGCAGAACCACGCTCTGTGAGAGCAGACGGAAGGAGGGCGTCACTGAGAGCGTCAGAGGGGCAATATGGTAAACGCAGTAATACTGAGCATATCATCTTTCAGGTGCATATTGAGTGTATATTTAGGTGTATATTAGCTTAAGCTGTGTCCCATGTGCGGTTCCTTTTGGAACACACCGGACATGATATTTACGCAGTATTATGAAGATCTTAGAGACAGTGGTATTTCTTAGTATTCTGTTTTGTAATGTGCAATAAAGTCATTTGACCGCTGTTCATACGGTAAAATGCTAAAGGATACTGCCTCTGTGTCGCAAAACCCGCACACTTTGGGTGTGTAAATACGTCTATTTCATAGCAGCAAAAGTACGATAGTTTGTGACGTGTTGCCGATATCTCACCGATCATTTTCATTCATATGGAAATAGAATAATGCCCGTGGCCCAGTCATATAATCAGATGGCTCGACAACCGCTACCACACAATATGAGCCCATCACCGCTAGCACGCTTGTCTGAAAGCCCACTCCATTGACTGGCAAAAATAAATAGTCCGTAATTACAGCGTCATGTGTTTATCTCCGGTGCATCTTAAAAGATCCTAAGCTGACGACAGCCTGCACGGCGTAGTTTGAAACCAGTGTGGGAGATCGCTTGAAATATACATAACCACGCATGTGGTAAGGGAATCAGCGGTGGCGGATCCATGCCGCCCCCGCCCCCGCCCCGTCCAGAGCGGTACTCAATCATCGCCCACGCGGGCTCCGTGGCCGCCGCGCTGTGACTATTGTTTGTCCGTGCTAAGGATACTCTCGTCAGCTGTGTACTTGTCGCACGTAATCTCTGATCAGCCTGGAGGGGCGTGGTTCAGTCACCTGCGCGTGACGACCTCTGCGGTCAGGTCACTGATCCTGCTGTTTTCCTCAGTCGTCGATACGCTTCCGCTGCTGTTTGTGGTCCTCCGGAGATCACTGATCAATGATCTTCTCCGTGTGGTAGCTACGCTCATCGTAGCCTCGCGGAACAAAAACTCCGGTCCGGAGATCATCGTCGCGGCGGCCGCTCGTCATGCTCAGTCCAAACGGACCCGAAGGCTCCGTCGGAGCGACTTTTTGCGACGACAAACGTCGTTTGGTATTCATGGGGAGCAGTGTTGCAACGGCGCCTGTTTGTGAACGTCGCCGGTGCGCAAAGAATCGCCGCAGATGCGCCGCGCAGTTTACCGCAATCAGGCGAGGCGTGCCGAGCGTTTTTTACCCATCGCGTCGATTACGCATAATTAGGCGATGGCGCTCACGACAAGAGATGAATTCGTTTGTCGGCCGTAGCGCCGCGGGACGCGGGAGAGGGCGAGGATCGACTCCTCTCCGAGCTGAGAGGCGGCCGGGGAGCGTGGGTGGTCGAAGTCAATTGGCAGCGATCGCCGGTGACGAACAGGCGCGTGACTTGCATTTCCGCAGCACCCAGGCGGCGGAGAGATATGATGTAAGGAGACGAGAGGAGACGCGGGGATATTCGGAGAGGACCGGAAGGGGGAGTGAATGTCATTTGGTAGTGATGTATTCGTGAACTGTGACGCTGCGGAACGTCAATGATGTATTATGCCGGCTTGGGTTTCGCTTGGCTTGGTTTTGGCTTCCGGTTATCAATTTTCCATGGCAAACGATTGATGTAGTAAGGGCGTAACGAGCCAATGCCAGTCACCCGCACACTCAGCTGTTATGCTCTAGCCTTGATGACCAATGCGCAGCTTCTCCCGACCTTGCGGTTCACAAAATGGCCATGTTGTTTACGGAACGTGCGAGTCGAGGTCAGCACGCGCAGTGCGTGGTCCCGGGAGTCTACCGTCCGCCCTCGCGGTGACCCTTCGGCTTACAATCTCTGAAGCTTGAAACGCCTTCGAGCAGCTCCAAATCCTCCCTAATCTGTTTTGTGATGAAGCCTCGGGCACTAACACGGGGCAGGGCAGCCTCCAAGGTCGCAGCATCTCACACGAGGCGGGTAGTAACAGGCGTTCTCTCTGACTCTGCATATTAAACGACCGCCGAGGTCGCCCATAATGTTTCAATCAGCGATGAAGTCGACCGAACCTCGTACACCATGTGTCTCGTACGCAGAAACCCGCAGGGACCCATCCGGGCGCGTGTCGCACTATGAATAGTAAACAAGCGCTATTCTCCCGCGCTGGGGAAAGTGGCAATGATGGCCAAGGGATGCTAATTCGGCGCTCCATATTTGTCTCCAGATTGTCGGCAATTTACATGAGCCACTTGTGAAACGTCTACGCCGACATGTGTCCCCCATTGTTTTGTGTATCCGAGAAAATTACTACAGGGAGACCGTAATGAATCTCCGTGTCATTCTCTGACACTCTCACGGTCTGACGTCGTGAAATTGACACTGCGCAATGAATATTTTTGTATTCATCGTCGCTTCCTTGCAAGTTGCAATGATTAAAGCAAGCTTCAATTGGTCTCCAAAGCTAGAACAGCGTAGCTAGAAGTGCCTACGCCCCTTGTCACAGCTTCTGACTCCAACCCCGACTCGAACTCTGTGCAGCTCCCTGGACAGACCAAGACCGATCAGCTTGCGCTGCATGGTTCGTGGCACCATTCCTCATCGTCCCTCTGTGCCGTGTCGGGGGCGGGGTGGGCGCTGCGGCCGGCTTCTGAAGGAGGCAGTGCCGGCAGCCGGCAGCGCCAGCTAGTCACATCGCTCGTGACATGATGGGCCCGCCCCTGTACCACTCTCGGCTCCACATTAGTGACAAGGTGTGTCCGCAGTCATGCAGGGCCGGCACGGTAGATGGGGTGATTCGCGGGACCCGAGACTGAGTCTGATTTCATGCTGCCTTTTATAGAATGAGGCAGATAGCTGAAACCTATATGAAACCTATAAATGTCGCTCTAGTGCTTCAACTGCAAAGTGGGTATGCCCTTAAATTGCCGAGATTCGGTAAAAGCGATGCCACATCGCCAAGGTTGTGATAATAATCGGCCTTGTTCCTGTGAATTACGAGCTTTGCTAGGTACAGCTCTATTCATTCTGGCGTCGTCGGCTATCTTCACTCTAAACCAAACATATCTCGTATCGCCGGTAATAAACCCCGAATTACGCCTATATCACCCTACCTACCCTGCATCTAGACTAACCACTCAGACCGCCCGCACTCATCCCGTACCACTCCAACAATCCCATGGTCTCCCTCCTGTCTTTTCTGTATTGTTTTTGTCTCCCTTGCCGTTGAGAGAAGTTAAAAAGAAGTTTACGTGCTAATGACAGCCTAAATGAATCTGCATTCACTGGCTTGATCTTAGGTGTTAAATTCACTGATTATTTGCGATCTGAAATGCCTGCTTCAATGTTAAATGTTTGCGGCGCTAAAATGCCGTTGTGCTTAAGTTCTCGTGGAATCAGAAGCAATAGCGTGTTACGAAGGAAAGACATGTTGAAGTTTCTTGAATATGATATATTTGCTCGGCTGGCTGTCACTTAACATTCCCGGTATTGCTGGGGCTGTCACAATTGGAATCATCGCGTGACACATTTATCACCAATTTCGGGAAGGCGCTGCCGTAATTGTGAAATGCCCAGTATTTGTTCGTGGCGGGCAGGTGTAGCATGCCCTTTGATAAGGCCGATAACGTGCTATGGGGCGACTTTGAGCGGCATACGAACTATGTTCGCCTGTCTTAGGGAGTTTCATTTTGCATGACTGATTATCATTGTACTTCAAGTGTGACACGCATTTTATCGCAACATCTTGGCCACTCTTAATAGGGTTTCGCATTGTTTTAAAATGACAATGTCGCATAGCACGCACTTATTGTAAGGCTCATTTCCAAGGACTGTATCTAAAAAGTGGCATCGTGCTTAGAAAACCCGTGCGTTAATTAAGCAAGTTGAATGACTGATCAAGCTATTTTTTTGCGTTTTAGATTAAGCAAACACACCGTACTATTGTTTGTTTCTTTTAGGTAACTGATCTCCATTCTGTTTTAACAAGCGTACAGGAAGGAAAGACCCCCAGCTTGACTACACCACTCACTTTTATATAGCCATCTAAGCTGCTCATTGTGGCATGCGGAACCATACAGTCCCTAAAGTTGGCATTATAGTTTATTTGGGCATTTTCTCCGTAAATCAAGACCTGGCTCAACACAGCTATCCACCATGAACACAGTTTTTGAAAAGTCTCAGAGTTAACCAAATACCGACCTCGGCGTCTCAGCACCTACCTTGACTGTGGCGTTCTTGAGCGGCTTGTCCGGATCGGGCACGTACTCCATGGTGACGCCGTAGAACTGGCCCTTGTTGACGTACGTCAGGCGATCGTCCTCGCGACGCTGGCTCGTCGAGATCGGCGTCTCCAGGAAGAAGCGGAAGCCGTAGTTGGAGAATCTGCGAAACGGGTGCCCCAGTTAGGTCGAGGTTGAAAGACAATGAGAATTTCACAAAATATTTTTTTTTCATGGAAACTTATTTCGAGGGGTTTCCTTTCAAATGCATGTATTCTGTGTTTGAGAAACAAAATTTATTGGTAAGTGGCCATTAGGTGTGGAGAGGATTGCTATCTGTCGGTAGCATAATATATCTGTATCTTTTAATATTTGTCCACACAGCTCTTTATGTGTAGAGTAAATAAAAGAGTGCTGAAATTTTATTGATGTGACACAACAAATTTATGACATGCCATGAGCAGAGTTTAATAACGTTATTACCCACTGCAGATGTCGTTTAATTACCTCAATTTTTACAACACCATAGCTTTGAGAGAAGTCAATAAATTGCAATTAAAGGCCTCGGATATCAATAAACCTTGCATGCATTACACCCAGCAACCTCGTCTTTATTAGCTCAATTCAAGTGGTTCAGACCATGCCATTAAAGAGCCCGTAACAGGGAAGTGTATGTGATTGCTTGCGAGCCCAGCGTAACGGTTGTAACGATTAATTTACGAAGACGCACAACTCACAGCGCTTATTCATGCTCGCATTTTAAAAAGCTAAATATGTCAAAACATTATTACCAAGAACATTCGAAAACATGAAAAATATTTCAAAAAAAAAATACCAAGCGAAGATTTGCATTGAGTATAGGAAAAAAAAGCACGAATCGCCTGCACAAGAACCCAAATGGCCCCTTAGAGAAACTCTCTTGATCGTTACTGCATCCTTAAGTCGGCCCTCATGACGCAGATAAGCGGTATTTATGAACGATTTTGCAACTGTGTCACAGCTCGAGGACGAGAGGCCTCGCGGTAACGGCGACAGAAACATTCACTGCCAGGACTGGACGTATGAAGTTACATCTGCTTTGCAACGGAGCTGCGGGCCAGCAGCGCTGCCTCCGTCGTCCCACCTCCCCCCCCCCCCCGTCCCGCCCGCCATGAGGATGGATGACTCCTCGCTGCAGCGCGCGGGCCGGGCGGCGTGGGTGGACTGCGGCCCGGGGGCGGCAGTGGAAGTACCGAACTCTACGCCGGGTCTAATCCCCGCTGGGATGAGGCGATACTTAGAAACGGTAGGTTTTCCCAGTCGGCGGCAGGGACTCATCTAGGAAGCGCCAGGAGGAGATACTTCATTTCATCGAACACATTTCAAGCATCTCATGCCGCTCGAGCGACTTTGTTTTGCCCCCTATAACAAATCAGCCCATCGCCCTTCCATGTTTCGTAGTTTGTGCGCTTTGATTCTTCATAATCTCTCACTTTTCTGTACCGTCACCGACTATATACCGTTTATCCCCTGCTTCGTACCACGCCGCCTCCTGCCGGCCGCGCGTCTCTCGCATCAGAACACGGTGCACTAGTGCACAGTACACACCGGCCGGTGCACGAGCGGCGCGGCGCGCCAACGGTCGTCGAGGGCGTGCTGCCGACAGCCTGTGGCCGCCGCTTTGTGCCGGCATGAGGCGGCAGATCGGTGGTGCACCTCCCACGCCACTGCAGGCGGGCGCCCCGGCCGGCATGGTGACCGGCCGAACGGGGGAGAGACGGCAGACTGAGTCAGCCTCACTGACGGTGGGGACTGGGGCTGTTTACTCATTCGTCTGTGTCTAAGAGAGGGTGACTCGAGGGAAGACTCTTCCCAGAGTGAGGGGAGATTTTAGAACCGAGTTTAAAAGCTTTGCCTCTCAATCCGCCTCGCGATATTTTCCATCCTTTCTGGGAGTTGATTTTGAAATATCCATGGGCCTGGTACTCATGCTATGGAGCATCTGGAAGTGTTAATTTCAGTATAATCACAAATGCTGTTGCATTGCGCCAGATATAAATCTGGTGATCTCACCCTCGCTCTTGATTACGCCTCCACATCATTCTTAGGGTGACTGTTCTGTTGCCTGTGTCGACTCTCCCCATGACTAACAGTGACCGTCTATTCACGGATATCTCGCGGCGGGCCGGCACTTCCTAGAACCCCCACCCCTCTGTGCAGGGTCGTGACATGAGACGGCGACCGCGCTCTCTACCGCCGGCATTCCCTGGGGCGGCGTGACTTCACCGGTAGCGGGTGGACGCAGCTCCTTCACGGACCTCGGTGCGGGGATTTTACTGGTGTTGGGCAGCATTTGGCGCAGTTGTGGTGTCGGGTAGCGTTTGGCGGACTTAGGTGCGGGGATTTTAGTGGTGTCGGGAAGCGTTTGGCGCAGTTACGAATGTAACTCCTGATGCAGCCCAGCACATCCCGCTTCCAGTAGATGTGAATACAAATTATAAATGTCCTTAACCCCTGTATCGCCGGCTGTTATTTCGTTATGTATACTTCTGTCCATCGCAAGAACTTATTTTTTCTGAAAATTTGAAAAGAAAGGCAAGAAGTTGATTAAACGTTGGTTGTTGGTTAGAAAATGGAACTCGAGCTATTTCTAGGCGGTAATCGAGTTTCTTGACTCAATGGAGTACCTTTCACCAAGTATTTCTGGCCCGTCTCGGTCCTCTGACAAAGCCTAGCCATTAGTTTGCGGAAGGTTGGCCTCATACACTGTACCTGGGGCCACACGGCACCGCAATTAAGATTAATTACTACTCGCTCATGGCTACCCTTCTAGCCAAAGGGCGTTGTGCGGAGCGGGACTGTACCTACGTGTCCAGAAACGCGTGAGAACAGATGAATCATTTCCAGAACTGACCACATAAATCAAGATTTAAAGAAATAAACCGTAATCCCGCTCTTTATGGAGGCAGGTCATACTAAAGCAGAAATTAGTGACCTAATTAGTCCAGATTTCCTCCGAGCCATTCTCCTGGAGAATAGTGCTATTGCACAAGATTACGGCTACTTTAGGACGTCTAAATGGTTTGTGATCGTCAGCTCGGACCTGGCTAATGACGCACTACACACGCTCAGGAGGCACGGCTGGATATTATTCAGTGTCGCGAGGGGCCACCGGTCCTTCCGTTAGGTCCTCGAATCAAAGATGAATGATTGTCTACTGAGAGTTTTACATTAGCTGTGACATCAGAAGTCTAAGATAAATTTCGAAGTGACAACAAGTTAAGTTACAACAAGAAAAACATCAAAGCCCGGCCGAACATTTATGTGCATTAAGTATTTTACTTTTCTCCTAGATAGCAAACGTAATTTCATAGCTCATGCATTCAGGACATTAGGATAACAAGCAGGCACTGTTAGCGAGGCCCACCACTATTACTATGCTACTTACATTTTGGGGATGTGTATCTTATCGACCTCGGTCTGCCGGCCGAAGTCGTGCCAGGGCCGTGACCTGGACACCGCCGGGGGCGTGGCACCGGGTCGCAGCACGGTCGGGTCAGCGGTCAGAACCTGCTGCTGACCGGCCGTGCCGCACATATCTGTGTACTCGAACCCGGTAGTCGTCTGAAAAAGGAGAAACCTCTGGTCAGATAGTGTATTTGGTAGTGTCTGAAGGGTGGGTATGGGTAATGGTAATGGACACAGAAAACTAGGCCAGCACAGAACTGTTGGACATGGTGCTACCTCTTCTAATGGTGGACATGACAGCAAGCTTTTGCGAACAACAGGAAAACCGTTATTATTAGATGGAGATCTTAGAAGGCATTACATAAGAAATTTGTATCGTTCAGTGTAACTTCTGTCTATCATGAAGGGCAAGCAATGCTAGTAAACTCAGTTTTGACGTTTGGAGCACTTCACATCAGTTCTCATTAGCCATAACAATGTGTCGGCAAGTAACTATATCAATAAAAACAGCATGCACAGCACAAAATTGTCACATGTTGCGTGATTTCCCAGAGGCTTTGTGTGCTTTCGTGGTGATTGCATGATAAACCATCAATAGACATTATGCGCTCATGTCAATGCAGCATTAGAATGCATTAAAATGCATTAGAATGCACCGTGTCACCGCATGTATGGCTATGTCTTAGAATGACTACGTTGCACCATCATTAGATATTCTAGGGTATTTGCGGTCATTCTGTTGGGTGACTAAGGCCTTTTAGCGCTCCTTTGCGGACACCCTTTGTGGAAATAATCAGACAATGAATCATGCGGTTCGAATCACTGGTCAAATTGGGTGACTCATCACATAAAACACAATTTCTTTGTTGGTTGGACTGAGCAGTGAAACGATTCCATTGGCTACTGCTTGAAATGGCCAAGAGAACAAGGACTCAATACCATTAGAAATATGGTTTTGATAATACGGCAGCTGAATGTGAATTGGATCTATCATGACCAGTACTGCACCATGTTTTATGATTCACCTAGCATATGGATCATTGAAATGCATCAGATCAATCGTGACATGGAATTCGGCCAATGGCCGGCGGGCAGACATGCGACCGTCATGTATCCCTCTGTACACAGACCCCGCCTCTGCTATCACTGGGATCTATTCACAGAACAGCAGCTAGTCCCCACTCCGAGAACATTGTGGAGCAATAAACTATGGCTTCTTAGTCCACATGGGAGCTGGAAGAGACTGCTCTGCTTCGACTTAACATCCTTGGATTAACGTCTCAATTAACTTCACCACACAGAGACACCGAGCTGCTGGGGTAAAACGGGTGTTTTTTTTTTTTTTTACTTCCTCCATATCACGCAGAGCATTTTCTCCTCGACCGCATCCGCAAAATTGCCACGAATAGCATGCATCGATAGCCGCAAATGTGCGTCTCTAATCTGGCGTGCCCCGTTCGGTGATGGTCACCGTTCTGCGGTAGAGATGACTGCGGTGCCGGGTTTTCAGTTACTGCGGAAAGACGCACCCCTGAGACGCTGTCTGTGGATGGGTTTTCCCTGAAGAAGCACCCTTCTTCAGCCTTAAGTGCGGAATGTCCGGGGCCGTGACAGGGATACTTTATCACCCTCTATAATATCCGGAAAAGGAACGGGGAGGGCGACACGAGCCACAGCTATCCTCAATCTTCCTCCTTCTCTGCCGCAGATCGTCTCTATCTGTCCTCAGATTGCTCCTACTCTCCAGCAAATCGATCTCCTATCCATACTCAAATCACTACTCTAACCATCCTAAAATCGCTCCTCTAACCATCCTCAGATTGTTTTATATCCGTCCTCAGATTGTTCTCTTCATGTCCGTCAGATCGCTCTCCTCTTCCTCAGAACACCCCTTCTCTCCATCAAATCACTTCTCTTTCCATTCTTAGATTGCTCCTCTATCTTCTCCCTCAGATTACTCACCTATCCTCACATCCAGGGCTGCGGAGTCGATGGATTTTCGGCGACTCCGACTCCGACTCCGACTCCGGCTTTCAAAAACCAGCTCCGACTCCGACTCCGACTCCGGGCAGAATTGTCGAATCCGACCGACTCCAACTCCCGACTCCGACTCCGCAGACCTAGAAGGGCTGCGGAGTCGACAGATTTTCGGTGACTCCGACTCCGACTCCGGCTCGGGTTTCTAAAATCGACTCCGACTCCGACTCCGACTCCGGTCATAACTGTCGACTCCGACCGACTCCGACTCCGACTCCGACTCCGACTCCGCAGCCCTGCTCACATCCCATGCCTCCTTCGTCCCCAAGGCGGGCTACTCAGCCGCTGTAAACAGTGGCGTTCCATGAACACTCGCCACCCCAGCGCGGTCATAATTTACCTGTCACAACCGCGTCGAGCGATCACGATGAGAGGCCGCCATCGCCTCTGCGGCCAAAACGGTCCCATCGCCCCGCCCTGACGTTCTCTAATCGCATGACATGGCTCGTCAGCGGCCAATTAATTCCTGCACCGGGTGCAGCGGCGGAGCACAACGGGCGCGAACGGCGCCCATGGCCCTGCAGCTCGTCCTGCTCACGTGCAGGGGGTGTTATGATTGCCGGCGGATGACAGAGCGATAGCGGCGGGCCCGGCTGCGGTCCCAGCGTCCTCTGAGGTCGAGGACGCTTTTCTGCGCCTAAAGGAGGGTAGAGAAGGATGGAAAGAAGTGAAGGGTAATACAGAAAGAGAAAGAGGGAGAGAGAGAGAGAGAGAGAGAGAGAGAGAGAGAGAGAGAGAGAGAGAGAGAGAGAGAGAGAGAGAGAGAGAGAGAGAGAGAGAGAGAGAGAGAGGGAGGCTGAGGGGAAATAAGAGAGCGAGAGAGCTGGAGGAATGGGTGGAGAGAGAGAGGGATGCTGATCAAACCAAACCAAGGCACAGGAAGACGACGGTCGTGCGAGCTGAAGACAGAGGATTGGGAGAGTTGGGAGAGAGTGAGTGAGGATCTCAGCGCCCTGATCGTGGGCTGCGAGTGATTGATGGTGTGCTTTGATTTGGGTTGCTGCCAATCACGGCCTATCTGTTAAGTGGCGAGGAGGCTGGCCAAGGTACCGTGGTGTCGACTCTGCTCTTTGGCATGCCGCAGGGCTGATTAGAGGAGAGAGAGAGAGAGAGAGAGAGAGAGAGAGAGAGAGAGAGAGAGAGAGAGAGAGAGAGAGAGAGAGAGAGAGAGAGAGAGAGAGATAGAGAGAGAGGGGGATGATGAGGAAGGAAAGATAGTGAGAGGGAGAGAGAGAGAGAGAGAGAGAGAGAGAGAGAGAGAGAGAGAGAGAGAGAGAGAGAGAGAGAGAGAGAGAGAGAGAGAGAAAGGGGGAAAGACAGACAGAGAGATGGGAGGGAGGAGACCCAATATAACTTCATGCGTCACGTTAAGTACACCTTGGCAGTGGAGAACGCAGAGCGCAAGTGATGGATGTAGCCCGACATACATTCACTCGTGGCATCCAAATGGACGGTGTGGCCCAGCCCCCAAGCCGTCCCCAGGCATGAGCAGACGGCTAAAAATGCATGTGACCTTCATCTCGCGTTGTCAGTCTGAAGCGACTCGCTTGGAAAACATATCTCCGCCTGAATGGAATGTGTAATGGGTCGTGCCGGCAGCATGGCCAATATATACCGTCATTGGTATGGGTCCGATGTCCATCCAAAGACATCCGTGACGTTAAAATATCGCGGCCGTTTGACCAAATAGATACTTCAAGGTCGGTCCCTGCTGGAAACAACTCCGCCTCTGGTCATTCGCTCAGATTTCCCAAATCGTGTGGCACAGGTGTTAGAGCTAGGGGGTGATTGAACATTGCCCAACGCTACACTTCGGCAGCTTTATTTATTCAGGTAATCTGTACAAGCCAACTGAAGCGTAATTTTATTGCTGGTCGCTTCACGGTAATTTCACTTTCACCACCGCGTTAAGATTTCAAACAAGGGAGTAAAAGACGTAATCGCACGTAACCTTGGTTAATAGGCGAGTGTTCAGTGACACTTTCACGTCAAGTGGTGCTCTAATCATGTTAATTGCCTGCCATGCGAGTTACATACACTTCAATGACTCGAATGAAGGAAAGCTAATTAGATTCTTTGAGTTACTAACATGGAAAGCAAATTTTACATTGAAATTCATGTTCCATAATCGGAGACAAACTACAGACCGACGACATTTTTACAGTGCAGGATTCTGGAATTTTATAGACCTGTCACATTTTCTCCATCATGGAGAAATAACTCGGATAACGGTCGCGGTGAAATCGACAAAGGGCTCGTTCGAAACAAAATGGCCAAATAAAACCCTCCCATAACCCAGGTGCCACAAAAAATCGGGAAGCTAGTCTGCCGCCGGAGCATCCCATGAGGATCGACATCAATTTGCTTTCGAAACTTGGACGCGGAGATGGACTCCCGCCAGGTCATGTTACACCGACCGCGGTGGTCACTTTTCATCTGGGCGATATCCTTTGGTGCTGTCAACCCCGACAATTAGTAACCGCGTCCCCCGCTCCCGAACTACGCCGGACGGGTGAACTTTCTCCTCTCCGAGACCCTTCCTCTCTCATCTCCGTCACCTTCACGGACACAGCTCGGCTGAATGGAGGCGAGCATTCGTCACAGTCCCGTTACGTGACAAAACGGCGTGACCTGTGACCTGGCGCGGCCATTACGCCAAGGTCGCCTCTGAGGGGCGAGCCGGGTATCACGTGGGCTGCAGCTGGCCGTGAGAATTAGCCGCCACCAACCAGCAACCCGAGCTTGACCAGGCGGATTTCGCTCCCCATGGCTAATCGGAAATTTCACGAGCGAGCTTGTGTCGTATCATTGTCGTAAAGTAATTGATTTTGTTTCCCGAATCATTCGTTGGGGCGCTGAAGCATGCGTTTATCGTTTACTAAACACCCTGGGAGTGGATAATTTACCGGTAAGTTACAGCCTGGGATGGGACATCGTTTGTTCGGAACCCTGCACTTAATTGAAACCTTCCGAATATTAGGATAAGTACCTCTAAATCAATTCCCGCGTGTCTTCCACTTACTTCGATGCCACTCTCATAATATCCTCCCTCTCAGTTAATCAGCTCATCGCAGCAGTTCATTATACCTGAGACTCTCGCAGCTGCTGCTCTCCAGACACGCATGCACGTGCCCCCGTGGCGCGCGACAACGAACAACCGCCGGAGACGCGTGCTGAGGCCTTGACACGGGGCAAAAAGTGCCGCTCGACCGCCGACAACGCTGCCGTGGGTGCCGATGTGCCGTCTGAGATGGACTGGGGTTCGAGGGGATACAGGATGAGTGGCGGGGTAGGCAGAGAGGCATGCAGAGGGAAGACAGGCAGGTAGGCAGGCAGGTATGCAGACAGTCAGACAGACAGGTGGACAGAAAATGACATTCACGCTGACATGGGTCTAGCGATCTTCCGGTAAGTCACAACTGATATCGTCACTTTGAGGATACATAGGATGGAGGAGGATGCAAGGATAGGTGAGTGAAGCAATACAGGCTGCTGAATTGCTTTGGGACGCCCGAGAGTTACCAGTCTATCACCAGTTACCAGTTTAGTTTATATGACTAATCGCTTTCCGTTGGACCGAAAGCGTCTTCCATTTCCAGCATAAGCTCGTCATTAAAAGGAATCGAGCCTGCTCAGTGAAACGCCTTGTGTAATCACTCGCTCCTTTCAGCTAGCTCACCTAGCGTCTCAGCCCTTTCAGGCCACCGATACGCCCGAACACCTTATGCCCGAGCCTCGCGTTCATGTCACGCCGGGTGGCCCTCGGCGCCGGCTGGCTTCCAGCGCAGGAGCCCACATCTGACCGGTGATGGATCACGGTCGGCTCCAGTGACCCTGAGACCGGGGATGGTCCCATCTGTGGGGACGAAAGTGACCGTCCGACTGACCGTCCACCGCCCGTCGTCCGCCGTCCGTACCGTCCACCGTCCGCCGCCCGTCGCCGCTGGGGGTCGTCACCGCCCAGAGACGGCCGTCTGCACACGTAAAAAACGTGTAGCGCGCGCTAATCACTCGCCTAATTAACCTAGTCGCCGGTCAAATGCACTCTAAGTGGTGGATGGGATAACTGGGTCGCGCTTATGGATGGTAATAGGGTGGTGAGGTAAGGTGGGTAAGATATGGATTTGTTTCCGACCCCGCCCGAAAGGGTAGGTGAACAAGTGTCCACCTGAGACGTCTCAATTACCTCCCGCTGTGGGGGACAATGAGCGAGGAGTTTTTGTCGTGTCCGGGCGGGGCTCGTTTCTCGCGCCGGCTCCGTCGGCAATTCTGCATCGTTGGCGAACCTCAAGAGTCGCCATCATGGCATATAATCAGGAGAGGTCATCAGCTCACGTCATGACAGGAGTGCAGTTTCGGCGGCGCTCAAACCTCGTGAACTGCATCTCTGATTTCTCAGAGTCACGCAGTCCTGTGACACTTCATCTCACTGCTCCTCGCCTAGTGTTCCGACACACATATGTGGCTATGGTTTACTGGAACATTTCTCGGAATGTCCACCATCCTCCATCGGTACCGTTTTGACCTCGGCCGAGGAGCGACCCTCAGGGGGAACGCGTCCAAATGTCCTCGATGCGCCGCTTTCTCGGTGCGTCGCGGCGGTCTCGGCGCGTTTACGACAAACGCCACTTTTCCCGGCGCTGTGCCACTATCGCCCTAATTGACGACGGCGCGCCGTTAACGAGCCCGGCGCGATCTTAAAAGGCGCTCCGGAGATGTCACTCCGCTTTCGTCTAGGCGCGTCGCTGTTAATCTCGTTGTCTTTGGCCGGCAGCGACTTTTAATTGAAAGTCCAGCGCGCGGCCGTTTTTGCGTCGGCTCGTTGTCCGATTCTCATTGTGCGCTGTTTTGAGCTGTCATCTTTGTTTGTCCAGGAACATTCGTGTTTCGCTGAGAACATTTTCTAGTCAGATGAAGGATATAAACGTCACGCGGATTACAAAGACGCGCACTATCAAATCGCTGGAGCGATAGGATATGCCCACCTGCGTAAAATACCTCCCTCCTCGGCACTCTGAAATATTCACCGGCATACTCTCAAACGAGAAGCTCTCGGATGAATGCCCAAAGTATACGATGGACGTAACGATTGTCGTCCATCAGTGACATCGTCGGACCTAAAGCAGCCCGAAAATGGCGCACACTCCATATTATAAATTCCACCTTCCACCATCATACGCCAGTCTGCAAGTTTGTGGCGTCACATCACCTGCCTGTGACTACTGCAGTGCTCAGCCGCTCTTAGCTCAGTTTGCACCGCCGCGCTGCTCAGAGAGCCGATAATCTGGTGGAAGCCGCCCGTTGTGTAAATTCCCAGCTGAGCCTAGCGGTACCGATCTAATCCCCGGCACTGATGGCCGTCTGTACCACCCAGAAACAAGCTCCGAGTCTTAATTCCGCGCCGGGGCTCAGAGAACGGATGTCTCCGAGCGGCGTCTCGCAGCCGGGAGTCGGCCCGCGCGGCGACAGTTGACTCTAATCTGGGATGCACCGAGCGCCCCCGTCCACTGCCGCCGGCAACAGAACGATATATGACTCGGATTCAAAGGGGCGACAGAGATCTGCCGCGGAGCAGCTGAATAGCGCTATCCATTGGCAAGCTTATTTGGTTGAATTGGTCACGGATAGGCGGCGGTGGAGGAGAGAGGTCACATCGGGCGGGTTTTCAGCTCGCGCCGGGTCAGCACGGGGTCAGGACAGACGAATAGTCATGACCCGGCGGGGGGTCGCGTGGGAGCCCACCCGGGACACGGGTAATGGCTCCAAGATGCACCGGCGCCCACGTTCCAGTGGCGTCTTACAAAGTCTAATTAAGGTTACAGATAATACGACGATTTACGGCAGCCTCAGTTGCCACTGAAGGGAGCGATTATTTAGAGCTTCGTAATGGGCGCGTGACAGAGGGGGCTGGCAGACTGCCATTATGGTGGGAAAAAGACAAATACCGGATATCAGAACATGCCATGAACGAATGAGCCCGGTTCCCTAAACGCTGTTAACTCCGGTATAACATGAATGTTTGTGATTCAAATGGAAGGATTAAGTTAGTGTGGCCACATCGGGCACCGATTGCTGCCATCTTGGAATCAGCGAACATCGGGCTCCACATGTCCGTCGGTGCAACTTAGTTATCAACGTGAGCACAGACATGTACGGATATCATCTGCATGTTTGTCGTGTACGGCGGACTAACGACAGGATTTTCCACGCCCACACGACGAACAAACGCCGGTGACTCGCGTGCCGGCTGGCCCCGATCCCGGCCGATAGCTCGCGGCTCGTGAGGCCGCTCTGTTGACGCAGAGGGCGGCACGGGATGCTGCAGCCCACGCCAATGGCAGTGCAACTCGGCACGGATCGCTGAGAGCATCACGGACCGATGAACGGTCCACCCGTGATAATATTTGTCCGTCTGAAGTGCACCCTTCCCTAAGAAACCAGTGTGTTCAGTGTTGAAGCGCTCAGGCCATGATGCAATGAGATGCTACCAAATGGTTCCCGCGTTTACACAAATATCTGACCAGGATCTTCGCCAAAATCAAGCCCCATTCCACACAACCCTAAGCAAACACCATAACACGCCCATCCTCGGGCTGCCAGGGACTGACCTGTTGCAGGGTGTTGCTCTGGTCCCGCGGTGTGGTAGCCTCTGCTCCGATCCCGCTGTCCGGAGACGGCAGATCCACCGTCAGTCCCTGCCCGGGCAGCTTATACACCGCTGCGCCGGGCCTCATGTAGCGCTCCACAAACTGTGCGTGTCCGTCCTGACCGTCGGCATACACGGGCGCGGCGCGGCCGGTCGTGTACTGCTCCCCGCCGGCCGCCGGGTAGTACGGGTCACGGTAGTACGGGTCCGTAGTTACCGCGTACGTAGCACCGCTGGTCCGCAGCCCCGGCTGTCCGTAGGTGGCTGTCGGTGACGGAGGCATCGCGCTGTACTGTGAGATGGGCTCGGCGAACACCTGTGCCGGCGCGAGACCCGTATACTGGGCGGCGTAATGACCCGTCGACATGTCCTTCGGTGACGGGGAGTCGGCGTGGAGCAGAGCCACGGGTTGTTGAGTCCCGTACCGGCCTGGGCTGCCGTCCGGCTCCTCCACCTTCCCGCCTAACTCCAGAGCGCCGTTGACGATAACGACGCGTCGGTCCTCGGGTCGATCGGGCGATCGGCGCGCCGTCAGATCCTCGGCCTCGCGTTTGACGGCCGCTGGGTCGGTCAGCAGGAGCCCGAGCTCGCTGCTCGCAGTCAGCTCGTCGCCGATCTTGCTCTGAGTGGAGATGAGGGCGTTTGGCGCGCTCACCGCCGCCGCTGAGCTTCTGCAATAGAAGGAGGCGGAGGGTCAGACGTGAGCATGGAGGGAATTTGAAAGTTGGAAAATGTCATCGATTAAAATTCTGGTAATGTTTTGCATTTGAGTATGCTGTACCGCCAGTGTTTTGAATGATAAAAGTTATTGGTGATGTCGAAAGCGAATTTCTAACCGATGATGCTGATTGATGACACTCAACTATTTTCTGGATTTTAGTTGCATAAATTGCATGCACCATAGCTTAGATTACAAGCGTTCATTCACAAACTCAGATCTCCACGACAGTCATCCACCATATATAACAATCACCATGGCCGCTGACAGTCCTACGACGTCGTTTGCACTTCCTAGCCTCGATCCTAACGCCCGATGGCCGCGATTGCAATGACCGGCGCGGGGTCATCAAACTACCGCACCCGTCACCACGCTGCTCTTCTTTGACAAAGGACCGACCGTCCCTGTCAATGTGCTCATGCCCATGTAGCAGCATGGCGTCGCACCTCCCGGGGGCACTATGCATGCACGGCCGGGCGACACAACCGATATGTAAATTTAACGGCGTAGCGGCGTGCCACGCATGCGCGCTGCAGTGACAAGATCGCTTCGATTGGGTGCAGACCACGCAGCCATCCCGGGGCCGACGCAGGTGGGCCTCTCTGGAGCGGCGCGGGTTCGTCTGGGCTGCCCTCAGCGAGACGGGGTCTATACAGAGAGCGGCAGGCCGAAAGGGGAACAATCAGCTGCGGTGCGGTGCACTCGTGATCGCAGTGGATGAGGCGGCAGTGTTTCTGGCGTCCGAACAGCCCCACTGGCCTTCGACGGAGCGTGACTGTCAGCAACGCCATCCAGGAAGTGGTCAAACAATTCAAATTGAGCCAAGTGTTCAGCCCTCCAGCGAGCAAACGAACCTGTTGACTGCCTCGTTCGCAACGTTTAGCATAGTTTATTTATCAGTGCAACCATAACCTAAGACTATCTTGCATGTCAGATGGATCGTAAGCAGTTTCGCTCGCAATATCGTGCCTCGTTGCGAGCGCCCGTCAAAATGGCGCCTTGGACGTGATCGCAGCCATATGACAGTCACTCATGAGCGTCGTGTAATCGCCAGTACCGCTGCGTCAGCCGCGCCATATTCGGCGCGCTGGCGGCATGATCGGCGCACCCCGCTAATCTCAATTAGCGAAAAATCCGCGGCCATCGTCGCCAAGCCGCTCGGGGCCGTGCCGTGGTGATCAGCGAGCCGTAGCTGCCGATCATTCGCTCACTGCCAGGATTTGCGACGCGAGATTCCAGGCAAGATGATGCGAGATGTTGTAAAACCTTGCAAAACGCATAACACGATGCAAAATGTCTTTAAATATCATGAAAAGCCCAAATCGTCGAGAAACGTCCGACGACTCGTGTTGAGCTGCTGCGAGCCGCTAAACTGATAAGTTGTGTGACCTTCAAGGAGAACTCTATCGAAGGTATGCAGCGCTAAAAACGCCATTGAAGAACAGCACACTCTACTATGTGGAGCTGTGAGAAGCAGTGGGGCGCTATGAAACACCATGGGGGAGGGTGCTGGAAGCTGAGAAGTAGTTACGTCTGATCTAAGAAACCAAGGTGCAGAACACCAGGTAATGAAGTGCTAGGCGCCCCATGACGATCTGCGCGGCACCCTACGAAGATCTGCCAGGCGCCCCGGGCGCGGAAACTACGGCGCAGCTCCGCCGTCGGGGCGCGAGACAAGTCGAGGCTATTCGACGCCTCGAGCTGACGTACCTCTCTGAGAGGCGGCGCATACCAGCGCCGAGCCAGGTACCCAATTTGAGGAAACACCACCGAGCGCCGTTCGAGCGGCGACCGAGCGGCGCCGGGCCACAGTTTTATGGCACGGACAATAGGTGCGAAGTAGCTCCGGGAGGGAGTTTGCTGCCGCGGAGGGTCGCCGACAGTCCGACTGCGTCGTCAAACACAACTGTGTGCCATCGAGCAAAGGTCACGGGAGGCGGCGGCTTCAAACAGTGGGCGTCAGACGACGGCCTTCGATCTGCGGATGCGCGCGCGCGAGCACTGGTCTCATGGTGCGCGTGGCGGGAGGCCGGCCAAAAAGTTTCGGACAGGCGCTGATTTCGGCCCGCGGAGAAGCGGAATACGTCAGCTCGAGTCTGCTGGCCACGACGGATGACCGCCGACGACGTTTCACTTCAGCCAACCGGCTCTTGTATGATAAATTGCCCAAGCTAGTTAGGTGATGGCAGCTTGAGGGGATATTGATGAGATCGTGAGCCTCGCCGTCCACGGCAAACGGCGCTGCGCTTACACTACTCAGTCGCTCCGGGAAGCCGTTGGCTGATCGTGCCTTCAGTTCGGTACCTGCTTGTTGATACTGTAAGTCATGCTTATTACATGCGACTTATTTTAGAGATAGGTCAATTAGCGTTCGTTCTGAGGAAGTTGATGTGCGATTGGTCTAAAATCCGTGCGAAAGTTAGTGAACACAGATGTTCAGCTAAATGTGTCATCATTTTATGGTGTCGGCATGGATGAGATAACAGATTGATGAGTATTATATCATCCATGGTGTCGGTCTATACGCTCGAATAAAACTCAGTTTACACTCAGGCTTTTCTTTCCCTTTGCCAATTTTCACTGGTCAATAACTTCAGTCACTTCTCTGTTGTCGCTCGAAAGGTCTCGCCACAAACGGAATTCTCACTGTCAGTCACTTCACGTAAGACAGCCGTCCCACCATCTGTGACACACCCGTCACACTGTCCGTGACACACGCGTCACATGCAGCTCGTCCAAACCCAGCTGTCACATTAGCGTCACGCAGTGCCCTCATCCCGTCCAATCTCGACCAATGCCACTTAGAGGAACAGGTTCGGGTCCAGGTAGCCCGCGGGCGGGGCGGAAACACGACACGACGACTGAGGGCATCTCGTCGAACCTGCCCCGACCGGGCCCGGTGGGTGTCGACCCGCCCCGACCCGTCCCGACCCGACCGGCTTACCCGAGCGACCAGCCGCGGAGATAGGCGTCCATCGTAGCCGCCAGTCAGCACCAAACTAGCGGGCACGCGCTAGCCGCGCGCCGCCGGCCGGCCGCCACCAGCGCCGGAGAAAGTACCCGTGCCCCGTCGACGCCGCTCCGCCGCCCCCAAAGGTGTCCGTCGACGGGTCGAGAGGGGTTCGACAGTCACCCGTCGACGATGTGATCTAGGCCTCGATCCAGGATAGTGATCCAAGACTGATCGGCAGCTGTGCGAACTGCAGACGTCGCTTTGGCAGGCGAAGGCCGCGGTAAAAGCAGCAGTCGCTCTCTTCAGTGGGTGGAACCGTGGAGGTCCTTCGTCTCTTCTGGATAGACGTGCCGAACGGATGTACGAGAGACAGCGTCTTTTAGCGTGTCGAAATTGTGTTCAGTGCTTTCGGAGTGAGATAAGTCTGGAAGTCGTCACCATGACATTTGAAGGTTGAACTGATCGACCGACCATCGAAGTGAGAAACCACCAATATTTTTAGCGCTGGCTTCTAGAGGTGGCGAGGACAGGATCATTTACAAAAAAAAAAAAAAACATTGAAGTTAAGATCATCTTCCAGTTGAGGCTTCTGGAGTTTGTATTGTACTTTTTTCCATTAGAGTCCCTAGAGACGAAAGAGACTAATTCGGAAGCGAGCTTGAACGTCCTGCCACGTGTTGTTCCAGAAGACGGTTACCACATTCTTGGATGTTTACAAGGCATCTTCTTGGTGCAGAGTGACAGCCAGTCTCTGAAGCGATAACCTCAAAGCTCATTCGTTGGTGGCTTGCAATAAGTAATGAAGATTATACGTCTTAAATTTGTAATGCTGCTTACGTAATGTGTATAAATATTTAAGCACCGCTGATGTGATTAGGCTGGTGACTTTGAGTGAAACCTGAGCGAAGATAAAAACAAATTACGGATGCGGTAACCACTAACCAACACAAGCACAACACAATATTCCTTAAGATAAGTTGTTTTTATTTGACCACCAGAAACACTTCCGTGCACATATTTTGTGCTTGTGCAAGCGTTGTATAATCTTTTAACAAAAATTTTCAAAGACACAACCAGTTGCATCCCTCTGAGCTATAAAACTCAATTATCTCATTAATCAGCTGGCATATGCTTATCACCCAGGTCATCCCTCAACGACCAGCAGACCGCTACTCCTCACCAACAACCCATTTGTAGTTTCACCCCATCCACCCGAACGTCTCAGCCGTCGGCGGCGAGTAAGCAGCGCGGCGGTGCGCCAGCTCTGCCTCCAGCGCGCCGTTTTGCGGGCCGATTAGTGGCGTGACATGTGTGATGGAGGGCCGGCGCTGTCACCTTTTGTTCCCGCCTTGATTGAGAGCTCAGAAGCAGCGCGCGGCCGGTCCGGGCGGGGTGGGGTCTCCGTCTCCAGAGGACCGGCATGGGAAGTCGGGACGGGACGGCGCGTCTCTGGTGATTCCATAATGAGAGCGTAGCCCGAAGGGTTGTCAGGTGGCCAGAAGGCCAGGTAGGGTGTGTGGGAGCTGCGGTGTCAGTAGGCCAGGCGTCGTAAAACCACATGACAACAAAACAGAAATGGTAAGCAAAAGTGGATGAAAAATCGACTGAATTCCTATACACGATGTTTTTTATGAGAAAATAACTTTTGTGTGCAGTTTTTAGATAACCTTCGATTGAAATATAAAGTGATTTCGAAGTGCCTACTATATTGGACGTGAGCCACTGCAGCATTATCCAATATCCATTGATGCAATATTGGTGCACACTGCACAACTGCGTCAAGAGTAGCATTACTAGCACCCCTCCCCGCTGCCCCGTCTGAGTATGCATGTACGGTGACCCGATGACGACAGACAACTCGAGGCCCCTGGGTGGTGCCTGGTCAGTGGTCAGTGGTCATGTCCACCGTCCAGCCCAAAGGCGGCTGCGGCTATGTAGATACCAAGCCCCCAGAGTGACGACAGCTTCAGGGGCCCAGATCGGTGACTGACTCAGCCTCCCACACCGACGACAAGTTCTGCCCCACCCCCTCGAGCGGCAACTGGTTTGGCCCCTCCCCCATAGAAGCTCAGACGCAGTCGCACCCCGGGGAGCGGCGTCACGTTCACCTGTAGCTCGCGCTGGCGGCGGGCAGGACCGCCCACGGCGCCGGCTGCCGTCCCCGCCGACCCGCCGGCACTGGGGCGTGCTCCGTTCACTGGCCATCGGACAGAGGACAGACCATAAATCCGCCACGGACCTCAGCACCTCCCGTCCGGAGAAAACGGCCTCCGGAGCGCCCTGTGGGTGCCCCGCGCACTGGGCGCGAGCCTCCTCCGCCGCCGAGCGCCCGAAGCATCCGTCCGGGAGAAGCGCAGTGGGACTAAACAGCGAAACGGCCTTAGCGGAGATGGCTTCGATTGGAGGCGAACAAAAATGGACTGCGGCGCCGGGCGAGCGGCGTCCGGTGCCGGCTTTGTGTGAGTGCGGTATTTATCTGTGCGGCGGAGATGGACGGGTCGCGTCGCCCGGCCGCCCCGGGGCTGCCCCCAGGGGGGATTTGGGAGATGTGTGATGGCGGGTGCTAGCTCCGTGTTTCACTTAGTGTTGGATCCGTCTTTCACTTAAAGTATCGAGAGTGGCTCGGTCTGAGTCTCGGAGGGCATTTAGCCGTCTGGTGTCATGGCGAGTGAATTGGGAAATGCGTGACTATTAGAAAAGGTAATGGGCCGACACGTGTATGTGATAAATTGTGGAGCTGCGAGCTTTGAATAGCGATTATCATATAATCATACACCATAAGGCTGCGATTACTGAGCTATGGTCGACTCGTGAGCGATCTGAATCACTTTCGTTATTCCAGGCAACTGTTGGAGCTGATAAAGCAGAATATGACGTCATATGGCAATCGTATTTTTATCTTCTTAGGCTTGTTCGTTGATTTAGGCTAGGTTACATGCAAATAAGAAAACATAGTTACGGTTACAAAACACTGAACAAACGCGATGTTTAATAGCAAAAGAACATAATTTGGCAGGCATTTTTATTGTTAAATAATTAACTAAGGAACACCTGTCAAACGGAGATGTCATGAAACAGCATGACAGGTATTCTACCTTAGCTCATTAATAGCCTTTACATATACAAACAAGAAGTCAGTAAAACAACAGCTAACTTCCACCAATGATGACCCATATGACTAATTAGAAGCTGCCAAATGGTCTCAGTTGAAGGTAACTATCTTCACCACAGTTAAGGATAAGGACCAATTAAACCAGCAGTCTGTGACGACTAAAAACGCACGTCACTGCCCTGACCCGACGAGTTTTTCGATGATCCCTCCGACTAGCGGAATTCAGTCACCTGAGCTTCCGCATTGTCCGCGCGGAGGTCACCGATTGGTGCTCACAATGCAAATGAGTCATCCGTCAAACGGACTGGGCAAAACGTTACAATCAACGACCCCACAACAACATTCTTAGTCAGTTTTGCATGGGCTGAGTTAGCTGAGTTATCCCAGTAGTGGCGAGCACCATGCGTGATTTCGTGTAATGTCAACGTCAGTATTTTTGGCTTTAGTAACGGAATTGAGGGATGCACCATAATGCATTATCATATGCCGTTTCTGTGGGTAACGTACAGTTAACGCGGATGTACAGATAAAGCACAGTTTACATAGCAGGGTTACGGTGTTGCCAGACGTGTCGGTGCCTCTTTGGCACAGATCTGGCCACGGGACCGGTCCTGCGGCTCTCCCAGTTCCTTCCTGATTGTGGGATTGTGGCGAACCGGCAACCGCCTTTGGGGAAAAGTTACTTCCTTTTTCGTGATCGTGTACCGATGCACAAAGAGGTTGTTTCCATGTCAATACCGTACATCAAACTGCTTACGTTACTTACGGGCCTTTGCTCGCTTCCTTTGTAGTCTAGTACCTATCATTATTACGGTAATTTTTATAAGGTAAGTTTTACAGTTTATACGTAGTTCACTCTATAACATGATTGAAACAAACAAAAATTTGTTCCTACAAGTTCTGATACGAATGTGCAATGCAAGTGGGCTGATACATGTATGCCTAAGCATTCCCCTAACTAAAGTCGATTGACTGGAGCATTTCATTGCTGGAATCGACACTAATTAGTGTTTTTGTAAAACAAACCTACTCGTATTGAGGTCAATGCTTATATAACCACGACCAAAACATAGAGGCCAATTAGGCTTCCATTGCACAATGCAGTAGCGTGAGACTTTTACGGAAAATATCGTCAAAACAATTACATAAAAGGAATAACCAATTGTTTTCTAAGAATAAAACAATGAAAGTATCTTAATTACTTCAACGCATCGTATTTAAAGTGCTTACAATAAAACTTAGTGGAAATATAAGTATGAAAGCAATTTAGCCGATGGGTACGGGTTTGTTATTTGTGAACTAACAGCTACAAAATATTTCACGCTATTTCAAAACAACATCTTTAAATTGGCTGCAATGCAGCAAAGTTGGTAACATTTCATCGTGATAATCCTATCAGTTTCTCTTCTTCTTTTTTTTACTGTTAGTTACCAACAACGTAAACTGCCGGTATGGGTTGCAGTATCTCTCATTCGTGACTCAATTAAAATGTTTCAGCAGTTCTGCCGCGCCATTCGACGTACTCTGACGAGCAGACCTATCATCCCGCGCAAACATTCACAATTTCGCAACTCCGCAGACACGTCTGACGCATCAACTCTCAGAAAATGCGAGTCTTCTGAAGCCACTCTCATTTCCTGCCTTGTCACACATCCTTTTCAGATAGAATCGCAGCGGATTAACTCTGCAATCTGCGGTGTTTCGCCGCTTTTGAGCCCCATCACCGGCCATTTTTGCCGGCGCCGCCGTGTGGTCGTGTCTCCGGCTGCAAATGTTGCCTGACGGGTGCTTAGTGAGGTCAGTATCTGACCGCAGATGACCTCTCCGTGACCCGGCGTGGTTCACAGCGTGCAACATTAACCGCCTCTGACAGCCGACACACGGAGAATTTCCACAAGCGGTGGAATTATGAAGGTCTTGTGTCAGAGACGGTGTATTTTTCGCTTAGCTGTCGACTGGTAGGTAGTCAGCCATTGCCCGTTGCCCAATGCTAATCTGATGCGTAGTTTCCGGGATTGAAGGAATCTGCAATGCACATTCACTAATAATTCTCATGAAGTTGGCAACTATTTAGAGTTATGAAATGTATGTGGTGGCATCATTTGCAAGTTTTTCCACTATTTAGCTGATATGAGCAATACACTCTCCTATGTTTCTCAATGCAATGCTAACAGATCATTTATCAATATCGGACAGCTTAAGCATACAAGATTAATGGCAAACAGACACGTTAGCATTATGAAACACATTATGAACATCAAGTATCGAATCTTCATGAATCGTATTCATCGGATGATAATGACACTATCCTAGGTATCTTGTTTATTTTAGCAATGAGCTGTATTTACATACAGCTGCTTCCAGTTGATTGGCTTTACGTAACTACAGTTGGAAGCATTGTCGGGCTTGTTTTGCTGCGAGCAAAATTAGGGATATAAAATGTTAAGCTATTGTAATTCAAATGCAATATTGGATGCAGGCTGAAGACAGGCTAAAACAAACAGCGTCATCGTTGCGATCTTTATATGATTAGACAACCAATGAAAGAAAGAAACAGAATAAGAAAGAAGATAGAGAGAGAGAGATAGAGAGAGAGAGATAGAGAGAGAGAGATAGAGAGAGAGAGAGAGAGAGAAAGAGAGAGAGTGTGTGTGTGTGTGTGAGAGAGAGAGAGAGAGAGAGAGAGAGAGAGAGAGAGAGAGAGAGAGAGAGAGAGAGAGAGAGAGAGAGAGAGAGAGAGAGAGAGGTACGGACAGAGGCGCCAGAGACAGAGATAAAGACAGCAGAGACAGAGATAGACAGAGAGACAAGGAGAGACAGAGACAAGAGACAAGGAGAAGCAGAGACAGAGAGGCAAGGAGAGACAGGCAGACAGACAACAGACAGAGACAGAGACAGAGACAGAGACAGAGACAGACAGACACGAGGACCTCAGCACGACTGTTGGTACTGTTACGCCTCTCCCACATCTCTACTCACCTATACGAGTAGTCGTACATGACCGTCTGCTGGTGCTGCTCGCTGGGCGCTCCCTGGATGTTGAGCATGGCTGACGTGGCGGCCGTCAGGGGGTGCTCATAGCTGACCCTCCAGCTGGGCTGTGACCCGGCCAGAGCCCCCGGGTCGCCGGGAGCCCCGAGCGTGTGCTCCGGTGGGGGGGGTGGCGGCGGGGGCGGGGGCGGCGGGGGCGGCTCAGCTGGCGGTGATCCGTCCCGCGACCTGCTGAACAGAGGAGGTCACAGGTCAGCCGTCAGGAGTGGTAGAGGTCAGTGCTGGGGTCAGCCGCGGGTCACAGCGGTGACTACCTGTCAGTTGACACCCGCTCGCCGTCTGCGGTCAGTGTGTGATCACAGGTCCAGGCCACACTAACCGGAGTGATGTGTGGGACAGCCGTGTGCAGTCGGCGCCGCTCGATTGGGATGTGACTGTTAATAACTACCATCGATGAGCGACGGTCGTGCCATTAGCAGGTCGTTTATATTCCGGCGCCGGGATCTGTGCACATTCGGTGCGGTACAGGCCATGTGCTGGCTGGCGCTGGACCCCCTCTCGATCATTTTTAT